ACAACAACTACAACTACAACTACCACAACAACTACAACTACAACTACCACAACAACTACAACTACAACTACCACAACAACTACAACTACAACAAATACAACTACCACAACAACTACAACTACCACAACAACTACAAAAACAACTACAACTCCAACAACAACTACCACAACAAATACAACTACCACAACAAATACAACTACCACAACAACTACTTTACTGCAACAAATACAACTACCACAACAACTACAACTACCACAACAACTACAACTACCACAACAACAACAATCACAACTACCACTACAACTACCACAGCAACTACAACTACCACAACAACAACAACTACCACAACAAATACAACTACCACAACAACTACAACTACCACAAACAACTAACTACCATAATAACTACAACAACAATTACCACAACAACTACAACTACCACAACAACTACAACAACAACAAAACAACAACAACAACTACCCCAACAAAACCAACTACCACAAGAAAGCCAATTACCACAACAAATACAACTACCACAACACCCAGGAACAACAACTACCACAACACCCAGGAACAACAACTACCACAACACCCAGGAACCTCAACTACCACAACAGCAACTACTACAACAACTACCACAACTACCATAACTACCACAACAAACAACAATCACAACACCCAGGAACCTCAACTACCACAACAGCAACTACTACAACAACTACCACAACTACCATAACCGACAACAACTACCACAACAACTACCACAACTACCATAACTACTACCGACAACAACTACCACAACAACTACCACAATAACTACCACAACTACCATAACTACCACGACAACAACTACCACAACAACTACCATAACTACCACAACATCAGGATGAGAGGCGGTCGTCTTGGAGGTTGGTGAGGGAGGAGGTCGTCTTGACGGTAGGTGAGGGGAAGAGGTTGTCTTGACGGTGGGTGAGGGAGGAAGTTGCCGGTGGATGAGAGGAGGTCGTCTTGGAGGTTGGTGAGGGAGGAGGTCGTCTTGACGGTAGGTGAGGGAAGAGGTCGTCTTGACGGTGGGTGAGGGAGGAGGTCGTCTTGACGGTGGTGAGGGGAGGAAGTCGTCTTGACGGTGGGTGAGGGAGGAGGTCGTCTTGGCGGTGGGTGAGGGAGGAGGTCGTCTTGACGGTGGGTGAGGAGGAGGTCGTCTTGACGGTGTGAGGGAAGAGGTCGTCTTGACGGTGGTGAGGGGAGGAGGTCGTCTTGATTGAGGGTGAGGGAGGAGGTCGTCTTGACGGTGGGTGAGGGAAGAGGTCGTCGTGACGGTGGGTGAGGGAGGAGGAGTCGTCTTGACGGTGGGTGAGGGGAGGAAGTCGTCTTGACGGTGGGTGAGGGAGGAGGTCCTTGACGGTGGGTGAGGGAAGAGGTCGTCTTGACGGTGGGTGAGGGGAAGAGGTCGTCTTGACGGTGGGAGGGGAGGAGGTCGTCTTGACGGTGGTGAGGGGAAGAGGTCGTCTTGACGGTGGTGAGGGAGGAGGTCGTCTTGACGGTGGTGAGGGGAGGAGGTCGTCTTGACGGTGGGTGAGGGAGGAGGTCGTCTTGACGGTGGGTGAGGGAGGAGGTCGTCTTGACGGTGGGTAGGAGGAGGTCGTCTTGACGGTGGGAGGGGAGGAGGTCGTCTTGAGTGCGGTGAGGGAGGAGGTCGTCTTGACGGTGGGTGAGGAAGAGGTCGTCTTGACGGTGGGTGAGGGATTCTTGACGGTGAGGAGGCTGAGGTGGTGAGGGGCCGTCTTGACTGGTGAGGAGGTCGTCTTGACGGTGGGAGAGGAGGAGGTCGTCTGATTTGGGAGGTCGTCTTGATGGGTGAGGAAGAGGTCGTCTTGACGGTGGAGGAGGTCGTCTTGAGTTGGTGAGGGGGGAGGTCGTCTTGACGGTGGGTGAGGGGAAGAGGTCGTCTTGACGGTAGGGAGGATCGTCTTGACGGTGGTGAGGAGATCGCTGGTGAAGGAGTCTCTGAAAGGTGGGTGAGGAGGAGGTCGTCTTGACGGTTGGTGAGGGAGGAGGTCGTCTTGACGGTGGGTGAGGGAGGAGAGTCTTTCGGTGGGTGAGGAGGAGGTCGTCTTGAGGGTGGGTGAGGAGGAGGTCGTCTTGACGGTGGGTGAGGAAGAAGTCGTCTTAACGGTTGGTGAGGAGAGGAGGTCGTCTGACGGTGGGTGAGGGAGAGGTCGTCTTGACGGTGGGGAGGGAGGAGGTCGTCTTGACGGTGGGTGAGGGAGGAGGTCGTCTTGACGGTGGGTGAGGGAAGAGGTCGTCTTGACGGTGGGTGAGGGAAGTCGTCTTGACAGGGTGAGGGAAGAGGTCGTCTTGACGGTGGGTGAGGAGGATGTCGATGGTGGGTGAGGAGGAGGTCGTCTTGACGGTGGGTGAGGGGAAGAGGTCGTCTTGACGGTGGGTGAGGGGAGGAGGTCGTCTTGACGGTGGGTGAGGGGAGGAAGTCGTCTTCAATAGTGAGTGAAATTAAATAAAACTTTTATATTTTAATTTTCTGTCTTCTTCTTCTTCTTCTTCTTCTTCTTCTTCTTCTTCTTCTTCTTCTTCTTCTTCTTCCTACTTCTTCACGTAAACATTTCTGTCACTAACACATTATTATTAAGTCTGTAAAGAACGAAGAAAACTCATCAACTTCAAGGAATCGTAAGAGAACGAATCCTTTAAATTATGTTTTCAGTCTCCAGAAAGGACCTAGACTCTACAAAAACACGACTCAGTTCATTAAATGGAGGAATTCTTGGTGTTGGATTGTCTCGAGTCATCTCTCACTTGTCGTGGATGAATCTTAAACCTCTTGTAGTGTTGTAAGTCTCTCTCTCTGGCAGGATATGTTGTCAATGCGTCACTTGTTAATAAATACCAACAATTAGTACAAAGTGTTAAGTCTCCTCCAGGATCTACCCCATCAGTAGGCCGTGTTTATGGGACCACCTGAAGACTGGACACCTCGGCATATTTAACCTGTTGATTAACACTATCCTAATGCTGCCAGTGGGGTTATGTTTTGTTTATTAGGTTAGGTTAGGTTTAGTTAGCTAAGTGTGGTTATATAATATTTAGGCAAAATAAGTAGGTGACCGTAATTTTGAGGTGATGTACTACCATAATGGTTTTCGGTGACCCAGTGAATAAATAATGTAATATTGAATGACATGATCGAAGGAACCTTTTCTGTACCACAAACACGAGAGTGATGTTGTGACATATATCTTCATATAACCTTATCGACGAAGTGTGTGTGTGTGTGTGTGTGTGTGTGTCGAGCAGGATCTTAGAAGTATTGAATTTTCTCATAGGCAAATATTCATGTTCGCTGTGAACTTTAAGCCGTAGCTAATCAGGGTCGATACGTATTCTTGATGGGATACTGCAGGGTGACCCACTCGTTTCCTGGTGGCCCTTAATGTATCTTTTATGTATGATACATTAGTGTTCTGTGTATTGTCTGTCGAGTGGTTGGTGTTATGTTATCAAGTCTCTCTCTCTCTCTCTCTCTCTCTCTCTATCTCTCTCTGTTTATTTTCGTATACATAACAGTCGTACAAACTACAATCCGGGTCTACCAGCGAATGAATCATCCAATATAATTGACAAAAAAATCAATGAACTAAATGTGGAAGAAAATTATTTGGCGATGTCGACTGGAAGCAAAATAAAGACAAATATTGGATCTCAGTTCGGGTGAATATTGTGATTAGTCGTGGTGCAGGATACGTCACACTTTAATCCTTTCGTTATTGTTTATATTGGGCTGTTTTTTTATAGCTCTTTTGTATTTAGTCTTGTAAGTTTGTTTTTGTACGTCATAATGTTACCTGAGTGATAAAGGTGATTATACAATATTTTTTTTGGCTAAGTCTTCTCCTAAATCACACACACACACACACACACACACACGTCCAATTTGAGGTACACAATGTGCCCCTCCACCTTCACGTCTCTCGTGCGTCCAATACAAGTCCCGTTACTCCCTACTACTACTACTACTACTACTACTACTACTACTTTTTTTTTTTTTAAACGTGGCCTCCAGCCTCCCCCAATAGCCACACCTTCGCCACCATTTATTTACCTTAATATTAAATATCCTAATACATAAGAAGCTATCCTATCTGTGTTAAATTAGTTGAGTCGCAGATCTATGCGGCATTCAGTGACTGTAGCCTCATAGTCAATATCTGCAGCAGTTGTCGGAGTAGGGGCAGAAGCTCTCGTTCCTCTGAGGCAGAGCAAAGCCGACCGAAGGAGAGAGAAGGACAGTCGACATCTCATCCAGGCTGCAATATAACTTCTGGGCTGCTGCTTGTTCGGAGATCAGCTCCGCGAGTCTGGCGTAGAAACATCTTGCACTTGGGCCCATCCCACCATTTTGAATTCTCTCCCCATATGCCCTTCTCTTGTCGTTCTCGTTCCTCCTATGCGCAGCATCGAGAGCTAGGTTACGGTGACAAACGGCCATGGGATCAAAAATCCTGATGTCGAAGAAAGCTCGCTGTCCCCGTGTCCAGAATCCTCGAGCACTGACGTCCACACGGGCTTCGTTAGATGTGTTTGAGGTCCTGTGTTGGAGGATCTCGCCATCCAGTGGAAGGAGGGTCGGTTCTACCATGACGTCCCGGCAGATTTCCTTCAACATATTTGCTGTGAGATCCCTTACCTCGTCATGCCTCATGCATATGAAGCCCCCCTTCTTGCAAACCATGGCGTGATCGCTATCATAGGAATAGCCACACACGCATTGGGAGGGCAAACCATCTACTGGCCAACCGTACCTTAGAGCAATGGCATCTGTAAATTCTTGTTTGTTAAGGCTGAAACCATTTGCCCTTATCGGTAACGTAGTTAACCAGTTCGAGGCGCCCACCTCCTGCGCTATAGCTACTTTTTTTGTCAAATTTTTCGGAACCGCAGCAATAGTTGCAACATGTCATTTTGGCAGTGCTGCTGATCTTTGTAATGGACCCACGGATCTTATTAACTACTACTACTACTACTACCTCCTCATCTTACGCCCACACCCCACGTCCACATCCAATTGTAACTTCCACCATCACACCTGCTCGCCACGTCACCTCAACCATCACACCGCCCCCCCACGTCACCTCCACCATCACACCCGCCCCCACGTCATTCCGCCATCACACCTGCCCCCCACGTCACCTCAACCATCACACCCGCCCCCCACGTCATCTCCGCCATCACACCCGCCCCCCACGTCACCTCCACCATCACACCCGCCCCCACGTCACCTCCCCACCATCACACCCGCCCCCACGTCACCTCAACCATCACACCCGCCCCCCACGTCACCTCAACCATCACACCCGCCCCCACGTCACCTCCCCACCCACCGCACCCCCCCCACGTCACCTCCACCCACACCCGCCCCCCACGTCACCTCAACCATCACACCCGCCCCCACATCACCTCAACCACACCCACCCCCACGTCATCTCCGCCATCACACCGGCCCCCACGTCACCCACCATCACACCCGCCCCACGTCAACCATCACACCCGCCCCCACGTCACCTCAACCACACCCGCCCCCACGACACCTCCACCATCACACCCCCCCACGTCACTCCACCATCACACCGCCCCCACGTCACCTCCACCATCACACCCGCCCCCACGTCACCTCAACCATCCACACGCCCCGCGACACCTCCACCATCACACCCGCCCCCACGTCACCAACCATCACACCGCCCCCACGACACCTCCACCATCACACCCGCCCCCCACGTCATCTCCACCACCACACCCGCCCCCACGTCACCTCAACCATCACACCCACCCCCCGTCACCTCAACCATCACACCGCCCCCACGTCACTCAACCATCACACCGCCCCCCACTACACTCACACACCGCCCCCCACGTCACCTCAACCATCACACGCGCCCCACGTCACCTCATCACACCCGCCCCCCGTCACCTCATCACACCTCGCCCCCACGTCACCTCCACCATCACACCGCCCCCCACGTCACCTCCACCATCACACCTGCCCCCACGTCACCTCAACCATCACACCCGCCCCACGTCACCTCCACCATCACACCCACCCCACCCACGTCATCTCCGCATCACACCCGCCCCCACATCTCCGCCATCACACCCGCCCCCACGTCACCTCAACCATCACACCTGCCCCCACGACACCTCCACCATCACGCCCACCCCACGTCATCTCCGCCATCACACCGCCCCCCACGACACCTCCACCATCACACCCCCCCCACGTCACTCTCCGCCATCACACCCGCCCCCCACGTCACCTCCGCCATCACATCCTCCCTCACGTCGACCTCCCTCCCCACCTGCCTGAGCGGCTCACCTGGCCACAAGGTGGAGGCGAGGCATCGATCCAGTGAGCAACACCGCCTGGCCCAGCTGGTCCTGGTAAGACGGATCTTGTGTGGCCCAACACTTGACTGTCTGGGGTGCCTGCTGAGGGTCCTGGGGGATAGTCAAGGCCCTGAGGGAGAGTCAGGTCCTGAGGGAGAGACAGGATCCAGGGTAGAGTCAGGTCCTGAGGGAGAACTCAAGCCCTGGGAGGGCCAGGGTTCTGTGGAGAGTCAGGGTCCTGAGGAGAGTCAGGGTCCTGGGGAGACAGGGTCCTGCAGAGTCAGGGTCCTGAGGGAAAATCAAGGCCCTGGGGAAGAGTCAGTGTCCTGGGGAGAGTCAGGGCCTGAGGAGACAGGGGTCCTAGGGGAGTCAGGCCTGGGGGAAGAACCAAGGCCCTGGGAATAGTCAGGGTCCTGGGAAGAGTCAGGGTCCTGAGGGAAAGTCAGGGTCCTGGGAGAGTCAGGGTCCTGGGGAAAGTCGGGGTCCCGGAGAGTCAGGGTCCTGGGGGAGTTAGGGGTCCTGAGGAGAGTCAGGGACCCGGGGGAGAGTCAGGGGTCCCGGGAGAGTCAGGGTCCTGGGGAGTCAGGTCCTGGGGAATAGTCAGGGTCCTGAGGGAGTCAGTCTGGGAAGCACAGGTCCTGGGGAGAGTCAGGTCCTCGGGGAGACAGGGTCCTGAGAGAGTCAGGGTCCTGAGTCAGGGTCCTGGGGAGAGCAGGGTACTGAGGAGAGTCAGTCCTGGGGAGAGTCAGGGACCTGGGGAGTCAGGGTCCTGGGAGAGTCAGTGTCCTGGGGAGAGTCAAGGTCCTGGGGAGAGTGAGGGTCCTGGGGAGAGTCAGGGTCCTGGGGGAGAGTCAGGGTCCTGGGGAGAGTCAGGGTCCGGGGAGAGTCGGGGTCCTGGGGGGAGAGTCAGGACTCCGGGGAGAGTCAGGGTCCTGGGAGAGTAGTCAGTGTCCTGGGGAGAGTGAAGGTCCTGGGGAGAGAGTGAAGGTCCTGGGGAGAGTCAGAGTCCTGGGGAGAGTCAGGGTCCTGGGGAGAGTCAGGTCCTGGGGAGAGTCAGGTCCCATGGAATAGCCAGGTACGGGGAGAGTCGGGGTCCTGGGGAGAGTCAGGTCCTGGGAGAGTCAAGGTCCTGGGGAGAGTCAGTGTCCTGGGGAGAATCAGGTCCTGGCGGAATAGTCAGGTCCTGGGAGAGTCAAGGTCCTGGGGAGAGTCAGGGTCCTGGGAGAGAGTCAGGTCCTGGGGGAGTCAGGGTCTTGGGGAGAGTCAGGCTGTCCTGGGGAGAGCCACGGGGAGTCAGTCCTGGGGGAGAGTCAGGGTCCGGAAGAGTCATGTCCCGGGGAGAGTCAGGTCCCGAGTCAGGTCCCGGGGAGTCAGGTCCTGGGGAGTCAGGGTCCTGGGAGAGAGTCAGGGTCCTGGGGAGAGTCGTGTCCTGGGGTCCTGAGAGAGTCAGTGTCCTGGGAGAGTCAGTCCTGGGGAGTCAGTGTCCTGGGGAGAGTCAGGGTCCTGGGAGAGTCAGGGTCCTGGGGGAGAGTCATCAGGGTCCTGGGAGAAGTCAGGGTCCGGGGAGAGTCAGGTCCGGGGGAGATTCAGGGTCCTGGGAGTCAGGGTCCTGGGGAGAGTCAGGGTCCTGGGGAGAGTCAGTGTCCTGGGGAGTCATGTCCTGGGGAGATTGAAGGTCCTGGGGAGAGTGAAGGTCCTGGGGAGAGTCAGGTCCTGGGGAGTCAGGTCCTGGGGGAGACAGGGTCCTGGGGAGTAGTCAGTGTCCCGGGGAAGAGCTCGTATGTGAACCAAGATTCCCAAAAGTTTAATTCTGGACCAACAGTAATGAGAAACAGCCAACAGGTTCACTTAACCCGCCACACAAAGAGGCCGTCCCACACTACCCTAAGTTAATTTTTACAACGAACTGGGAATGAGGGTGAGGAGATGAGATGTGTGTGTGTGTGTGTGGTGTGTGTGTGTGTGGTGTGTGTGTGTGTGTGTGTGTGTGTGTGTGTGTGTGTGTGTGTGTGTGCGCCTAACTCAGTTTAATGTACACACACTAACATTTGTTCTTAGTTCAACCACATTATAAGTGTTCTTGTTTTACCCATTTTGTCTTCCTCCTCCTCCCTTGTCTTCTTCCCTCCTCCCTGTGTTTCTTTCTTCCTCCCTTGTCTTCCTCCTCCCTTGTGTTCTTTCTTCCTCCCTTTGTCTTCTTCCCTCCCTTGTGTTCTTCTTCCTCCCTTGTGTTCTTCCTCCTCCCTTGTGTTCTTCCTCCTCCCTTGTGTTCTTCTTCCTCCCTTTGTCTTTTTCCTCCTCCTTGTGTTCTTTTTCCTCCCATGTGTTCTTCTTCCTCCTCCTTTGTGTTCTCTTCTCTTTTCCTCCCTTGTGTTCTTCTTCCTCCCTTGTGTTCTTTTCCTCCTTTGTGTTCTTTTCCTCCCTTGTGTTCTTTCTTCCTCCCTTTGTGTTTTTTCTTCCTCCCTTGTGTTCTTTCTCCCTTGTGTTCTCTCCTCCTTGTGTTCTTTCTTCCTCCCTTGTGTTCTTCCTCCTCCCTTGTGTTCCTTCTTCCTCCCCTTTGTCTTCTTCCTCCTCCCTTTGTGTTCTCTTTTCCTCCCATGTGTTCTTCTTTCCTCCTCCCTTGTGTTCTTTCTTCCTCCCTTGTGTTCTTTTCCTCCTCCCTTGTGTTCTTTCCTCCTTGCTCCTTTCTTTCCTCCTCCTTGTGTTCTTCTTCCTCCTTTGTTCTTCCTCCCATGTTCTTCTTCTCCCTCCTTGTGTTCTCTTCTTCCTCCCATGTGTTCTTCTTCTCCCTCCTCCCTTGTGTTCTTTCTTCCTCCCTTTGTGTTCTTCCTCCTCCCTTGTGTTCTTCTTCCTCCCTTGTGTTCTTCTTCCTCCCTTGTGTTCTTTCTTCTTCCTCCTCCCTTGTGTTCTTCTTTCTCCTCCCATGTGTTCTTCTTCTTCCTCCTCCCTTGTGTTCTTCTTCCTCCCTTGTGTTCTTCCTCCTCCCTTGTGTTCTTCTTTTCCTTTGTGTTCTTTCTTTCCTCCCTTGTGTTTCTTCTTCCTCCCTTGTGTGTTCTTCTCTCCTCCTCCCTTGTGTTCTTCTTCCTCCCTTGTGTTCTTTTCCTCCTCCTTTGTGTTCTCTTCTTCCTCCTTGTGTTCTTCTTCCTCCCATGTTCTTCTTCCTCCTCCCTTGTGTTCTTCTTCTCCTCCCTTGTGTTCTTTCTCCTCCTCCTCCCTTGTGTTCTTTCTTTCCTCCCTTGTGTTCTTCTTCCTCCTCCTTTGTTTCTTCCTCCTCCCTTGTCTGCTTCCTCCTCCCTTGTGTTCCTCTTCCTCCCTTGTCTTCTTCCTCCTCCCTTGTGTTCTTCCTCCCATGTGTTCTTCTTCCTCCTCCCTTGTGTTCTTCTTCCTCCCTTGTGTTCTTCTTCCTCCTTGTATTTCTTCTTCCTCCCTTGTGTTCTTCCTCCTCCCTTGGTTTCTTCTTCCTCCCTTGTGTTCTTCTTCCTCCTCCTTTGTGTTCTTCTTCTCCTGTCTTCTTCCTCCTCCCTTGTGTTCCTCTTCCTCCCTTGTCTTCCTCCTCCCCTGTCTTCTTCTTTCCTCCCTTGTGTTCTTCTTCCTCCTTGTGTTCTTCTTCCTTCCCTTGTGTTCTTCTTTCCTTATGTTCTTCCTCCTCCCTTGTGTTCCTTCTTCCTCCTCTGCTTCCTCCTCCCTTGTGTTCTTCTTCCTCCTTGTCTTCTTCCTCCTCCTTGTGTTCCTCTTCCTCCCTTGTCTTCTTCCTCCTCCCTGTCTTCTTCCTCCTCCCTTGTGTTCTTCTTCCTCCCTTGTCTTCTTCCTCCTCCCTTGTGTTCCTCTTCCTCCTTGTCTTCTTCCTCCTCCCTTGTCTTCTTCCTCCTCCTTGTGTTCTTCTTCCTCCTTGTCTTCTTCCTCCTCCCTTGTGTTCTTCCTCCTCCTTTGTGTTCTTCTTCCTCCTTGTCTTCTTCCTCCTCCCTTGTGTTCTCTTCCTCCTTGTCTTCTTCCTCTTCCCTTGTCTTCTTCATCCACCTTTGTGTTTTCTTCCTCCCTTGTCTTCTTCTTCTTCTTCCTTGACTTCTTCTTTTGTCTCCTTCTTCTTGTGTCTTCTTATCCACCTTGTCTTCTTCCTCTTCCTTGTCTTCTTCCTCTTCCCTTGTCTTCCTTTCCCTTTGTCTTCTTCCTCTTCTGTCTTCTTCTTCCTTGTCTTCTTCCTCTTCCTTGTCTTCTTCTTCCCTTGTCTTCTTCCTCCTTCCCTGTCTTCTTCTTCCCTTGTCTTCTTCCTCTTCCTGTTCTTCTTCCTTGTCTTCTTCCTCTTCCTTGTCTTCTTCCTCTTCCTTGTCTTCTTCTTCCTTCCTTGTCTTCTTCCTCTTCCTTGTCTTCTTCCTCTTCCCTTGTCTTCTTCCTCTTCCCTTGTCTTCTTCTTCTTTTGTCTTCTTCCTCTTCCCTTGTCTTCTTCTTCCCTTGTCTTCTTCCTCTTTTGTCTTCTTCATCCACCCTTGACTTCTTCTTCCTCCCTTGTCTTCTTCCCTCTTTCGTTGTCTCATTCTCACCTTTTATATTTCCTTAATTAATCTTTTTCATTATGTTCCTTTCTTTCCTCCTTTTTCTTTATTTTCACTATCTCCTCCTCTTCCTCTTCCTCTTCCTCTTCCTCTTCCTCCTCCTCCTCCTCCTCCTCCTCCTCCTCTTACTATTTCTTTCTTTTCTCTCCCTCTCCCTTTTCCTCCTCCTCTTTCCTCTTCCTCTTTCTCCTCCTCTTCCTCTTTATTCTCTTCCTCCTCACTATTTTCATCTCCTCCTCCTCCTCCTTCTCCTCCCTCCTCTTCCCCTTACATCTCCATCATCACGTCTCTCTCCCCTCCCTCTCTCTCTCCATTACTTCCCTTTATCGTGCCATTCTTCCTCATTTATCGTTATTCCTCTACTTCCCAATCCTCCTACTTCCCAATCCTCCTACTTCCCAATCTCCCCCAATCCCAATATTTTCCCCTGTTCCCAATCCATGTAAACCCTTTTCTAGTTCTTCATCTTTCCAATCCCAGCTCTTTCCAATCCAATACTCTCAATCCTCTTCCCAATCCCATCTCTTCCAATCCAATACTCTCCCAATCCCATTCTTCCCAATCCCAGCTCTTTCCAATCCCCCAATACTCTCCCAATCCTCTTCCCAATCCCAGCTCTTTCCAATCCCCCAATACTCCTCCAATCCCTCTTCCCAAACCCTCTTCAATCCCCAATACTCTCCCAATCCTGTCTAATCTTCTTGTGGAGTGCGTCGGCGCTCTCCTCCTGTGAGCTCTCAACTTGTCTAACTTATAAATTATTCTACTCCCTTCTGCCTTCAGCTCTCTCTCTCTCTCTCTCTCTCTCTCTCTCTCTCTCTCTCTCTCTCTCTCGCACGGAGGCAGGCAATCAAG